TCTGCCACAGAAAAATTGGCAGGTGGTTTTTAATCTATTTTCCAAACGATCAGGTAAACTAATTGCCTGTTAAAAATCCATGGCATTTTAATTTTTGTATAAGGTTTGTTTATAAGTAGTTAATGTCGTTGATCTGGAATAGAAAGATTGGCCAACATAGAGTCTGCTCCAAAACTTAGCCAGTACTTATCCTCTTGCATCTTATTTGCTTACACGTGTGCCGCTACTCCGAATGGCCAACTCCCCAACCCGTTTCCTTTGTGAATAAATGGTTTTCCCTATTTTTGTCAAAATTCAATTAAAATTGTTTAACTTGGACGACAACGGGCAAAAAAAAATACAACAAACTTACATTATATATATCAAATTGTATAGGAGAATAAAACGAAAGAGTTACAGCAGCGGACGGCGACGGCGACTGCGACGCAGCAGCGCTGCAGCACCGGGCATTTCAAACAAAGGACAACATAACGAGATTAACACACACAGGCACAGAGCCACCCCAAAAAAAGTAAAAATACGAAGCAAAATCAAATAAAAAACACAAAAAAGGAGAAGTGAAAAGCATGTAAAAAAGAGAGAGCGAACGGGGAGAGGAATTGAGAAAAAATAAAACCCGCTTAAATTAAGCCCACCTACTGGCCACCATCAGAAGCCACCACCCAACCCGGGAACCACCCACTCCTGCCACCCACAAAAGGAAGCTGGAGCTGGACAGCAACGCACGAACGGGTTGAAGGGTACGAGCACGTTGATGAGGACATGGGGGGAGGTGCAGGAGGTGGGTGGTCCGGGGGTGTGCTGTTCCGCCCGCCGGCACTTGCCAATTTAAACAGGAAAGAAGGCCACAGGCGATGGGCCCGACTATGGTGATACCCGCCAAAAATATGTTGCATAACTACACCAACACACGACAACGAGAAAGGCATTTCTTGTCTATATTCGAATTCGAAGTCTATATACCCTTGCAAATGATTTATGATATGGGGATCCTTTTCTCAAGATTTCCAATCCTGATCTGCAAACTCATAAATATACTACGCTCTATGTTCAGGACTAAGTGAGTAAAGTGCGTATATAGATATAAGGTAGCTCTAGAATATATTTATTCGATTTCTATAATTCAAGGAACTGTTTAAATATGATGTTTAAAAACTGCACGTATAGGCTTATATTTAAACAGAAAGGCAAAACTTGCCACATAAGTCTATTTACAATATTCAGATTTAATTGAGTAGTCGAAATCTCAATATGAAGATTTTGAAGATTTTTTTGAGCAGATTTTTTGGCTAAATATCACATGTACAAATAGTTTGTACGTATGTTTGGATCAAATGATGCCCAAAAACAAAAAATTGTTTGCTTAAATTTCCGAATAATTGTTTTGCTTTTGGATTTGTTTTTTACTATTTATCCCTGTGTGGTTAAAAAGCGAGATCGACTTGACTATTGATCCCCATCAAGACTAAGATTGCATATTTTTGGGCCAATAAAATATCCCCTCTTTTCGGCAGGTTTACCGGGTATAAAAAGTGGAAAGCCAGAGAGAGGAGACACAAAGAAACGACCACGCAGCATAAATAAAATGCCTGCCAAGCAAAGGTCCACACACACACACACACACTCATGCAGAGCAACCCTTTCTCTCCATCTCTATCTTCATCTTCTTCTTACATTTGCTTGGCCAGTGGGCAGCCCGTGCGTTCCCCATCCCCAAAAATCCCCTAAAACCCAGCGAAAACCCCCGGAACTCCCTCAAAATGCGGCAAGGAAACTGAAAATTATGTCGACAGAGGCTTCTGCTGCTGCCTCTGCTTCTGCCTCTGCCGCTGCCAGCGACGACGTCGACGCAGGCGGTGGGGGCAGCGCAGGCTCAAACTCAAATCAAATCCTTCGTTCCACCGATCCTGGTCAGTTTCAGTGCGAAACCATAAAAATGCGTAAATTCGCAAAGGTTTGCTTGTTCTATTCAACGGGAAAGAGGGACTTTGCTAGGACTAAGAACATACAAGGAAAATATAAGGATCAAAGTATCAATATCGGATATCATATAATTTTATTTACAGAAATTGTTTTAAAATGGTCTTTATAAAAAGGCAAAAAAGCTATTTCTATCTCTGAGATTCCTATTCTCAGGCATTAAAAAAATTATATTTTTCTTTTTGTCATACAACATATAGTTCTCCATAGAGTTTGTGCTTCTTATAAAGACACATTTTAAGTTATTTTCAGCAATAAAAGTTAAAAATAGGGGCTCCAGTCCACCGCTTTTTTTGAAACAGTTGATACAGCCTAAAAAAATTATCTTAACACACAAATTCAGGATTCTTAAATAAATAAATAAACGATATTAGGGACTTTGCCCGACTTTTAAAATTCACACTATGTATTTTTAAACCCTTATTATAATTTTGGGTCAAAAGTTTGTAACAGGGTGGAGGAGACTTTTCCGACCCTATAAAGTATATACATTTTGTTTCTATACTGTTGCGAGACCAAAATCATTAAGCGCTCATCGGACGTCTATATCCTAAAGCTTTCATAAAACCCATCGGGGCAAATTTATTAATGTTGCTGTGATTGAAGAAATGTTTTTATTCCTCGCTGTTTTTGTCTAATCCTATTTTATCCCTGTTTTGGACCAGTACATTGACTTTTATCAAAATCGAATTACCAAATTATAAATCTGTTATATACCTTGAGTTTTATAAAAATCGGTTTACAATATTCTATATCTGTCCTACAGCTGCCATACTAGCTGTATGGACTTTTGCATTTTATCTGCGCAGTATAGAAGCTATTAACATAAAAAATTTCAAATCGTATTTTTTATGTGTACACTGATCATGTTTAAAAACCTGATCATGTAGAAACCATCAAATTTGGTAATTTGTTTTTGAAAAATGTAACTTTACAAACACGAAAGTTATGGCATTTCCGATCAATCAGTTATATGGCAGCTATAGGATATAGTCGGCCGATCCCGGCCGTTCCGACTTATATACTGCGTGCAAAGGAAAGAAGGGTGTGTGCAAAGTTTCAATTCGATAGCTTTAAAACTGAGAGACAAGTTCGCGTAGAAACAGACAGACGGACAGACAGACGGACAGACAGACGGACAGACAGACGGACAGACAGACGGACAGACGGACATGGCTATATCAACTCAGGAGGTGATCCTGATCAAGAATATATATACTTTATAGGGTCGGAGATGTCTCCTTCACTGCGTTGCACACTTTTGACCAAAATTATAATACCCTCTGCAAGGGTATAACAAGAGAGAACGCGAGTGCCTCGACTATTAGATACCCGTTACTCAGCTAAACAACTTAATATAAATATGCCTTCTTGTATGTTTTTCGCCGCTCGAATTAGCTCCCGATTTTTATGTTAAAATCGGTACCCAGGATGGCGCTTTTGTACTGCGCCATCTACCCCAAGACATTGGTACCACAGGCCATGAAAAGCGGAAATGTAGGCGCTAGCCAGGCTTAAGCGTTTAATGGGATTTTGGGGGTTAGAGTGGGCGTGGCAAACTTTTATTAGGCCAATCGATAGGTATTGACGAAACAAATACATATCAATTAAAATGTTCATAATAGCATCAAAACTGTGGCCACAGCTTGTGGCTTGTGGGCGTCAGAGGGGGCGTGGCACCATTTTGAAACAAACTTGCGCTGCGTAGGAACTCCTAAAATCTACATGCAAAATGACAATCTTCTAGCTTTTATAGTTTCCGAGATCTCAGCGTTCATACGGACAGACAGACGGACATGGCTAGATCGACTCGGCTAGTGATCCTGAACAAGAATATATATACTTTATAGGGTCGGAAACGCTTCCTTCTACCTGTTACATACTTTTGCACGAATACAATATACCCGTTTACTCTACGAGTAACGGGTATAACAAGAAATGAAGCAAACTTCGGCAAGTGGAAGTTTATATACCCTTGCAGTTGTTACAAATCTACTACATTTAGATTTCACGGCCTATGCCATGAAGCTATGTCGATTGGCCGCTGCATTTTGTCATCGCTTCTATGGCACCTATATGATATTGTTGTCTGATTTTAATTTAATAAAAACCTTAATTCCATAATATTTAAACATTACCAAATCCCAAAGAACAAAAAAAAATTAACAAGAAAGAAAAGCTAACTTCGGGCGGAGCCGAAGTTGATATACCCTGGCAGAATATTCTGTAAATTATATTCTCCAAAATTATTCATATGATGCATTCTTAATACTCATAAAAAATCCCAACTTCCTAACTTTAAAAACACCAAAATTATGGCCTTTCCAATAGTTCAGTTATATGTCAGCTATAGGATATAGTTGGCCGATCCTTATAAAATTTGGTAGGTCGGATTGATTGGCCAAATATAAAACCCATAGAAAATCCCCTTCTTAACTTTACAAACACCAAAGTTATGGCATTTCCGATCGTTCAGTTATATGGCAGCTATAGGATATAGTCGGCCGATTCCGTCCGTTCCGACTTATATACTGCGTGCAAAGGAAAGAAGGGTTTGTGCATAGTTTCAATTCGATATCTTTAAAACTGAGAGACTAGTTTGCGTAGTAACAGACAGACGGACAGACGGACATGCTTATATCAACTCAGGAGGCGATCCTGATCAAGAATATATATACTTTATAGGGTCGGAGATGTCTCCTTCACTGCGTTGCACACTTTTGACCAAAATTTTTCCATCTTTTCTATGCCAGCTATATGATATTGTTGTCCGATTTAACAAAGCTAAAAGCGTAATTCTGATATAGTAAATAATTTCTATATCTCAAAGGAATATTTTGATAAACAGAAAAACAGCAAACTAAAAATTGTATTTAATCTTTTTTTCATTTTTCGATTTTCCTATGGGAACAAGATGATATAGATGTCCGATCTTAATTTAATTAAAACCGAAATTCCATAGTATTTAAATATAACCAATTCCCAATGAACAAAAAAATTAAAAACAACAAAGTTATACATTAAATAAAAAATTGGACCTTGCGCTTGCGCTTTTCCTTCGTGAGGCTTTGAGGAGTGGGAGTGGAGGTGGCCTGAACCTCAGAAAAACCGGCCATGGAAGTTTCCGATGCTGAGGGAGCTTTTTTCCCAGTCACGAGGCTTTCAACCACCTTGACTTTGGGTCTGGACGTCTTGGGCTGTGCCAGTGTTCCAATGGATTTGCGGGGTTTTTCGACTTTCCCACTTCGGATGATTCAGCTGCTTCCTTTACGCTGGACTTCGCTTGCCTTTTCCCCGATCCCGTTGCTGCGGGCTCGGAAGTTTGCAAAGCCTTTTCGCCGGCGGCCGCTTTCTTCTTTGGAGGAGCTGTCTTGGTTTCGCCATCGGCTTTCTTCTTCTTTCCGGCCTGTAGGCTGTAAATATAAAATAATTTTAAATTTATATATTATCTATTTATGAAAATATCAAGCCATTTCGATATTAACTATTACCTAATAGTAACTTACTTGTTTCGTTTTCCGCTCGGATGGATTTATGGCCTTTTCCTTTTTAGCCTTATTTTCCTTGGACTTGACTAATTTCTTTTCGGCCTTCTCCTTCTGCTTTTTAGCCTCCATTTTTCCCACAGACTTTGAGAAGTTTTTGTACTTTTCGGTAAGTTTGAATGATCGCTTTACCATTACCACATCGCCCGAGATCACGGCTAATTTAAGGGCCCGATACATAACGCGTGCGGCGTTCTTAGCATCCTTCCACTCGTGACCATTGCTTTTCAAATATTTCATAATAGCCGGAACCGATGATCCCGACCGACTGGTCAGCTTTCCGATGGCCATGAGTGCTAGGGATATGCGCGACTCCTTGATATTTGGGGCAGTCGATTTTGGTTTCATACCTTTGCCGGAATCGGGAGGGGCCATTTTTGACCCATCATCGGGCGGTGGAGTAGGATAGAGATGTCCGGCAGTTTCCAGATTATTGGATTCGGGCTCTTCTTCTTCCCACTGTTCCTCCTTTTCCTCCTCCTCCTCCATTTCCTCCTCGCCCTCATCCTTCTCATCCATTTCCTGCTCTTCTTCGCCTAAATTGAAATATTCCTCAGGATTATCAGATTTCATCTCCTCTTCGCCCATCTTGAGTTTGGCAGTGATTTTATACACAAATTAAGAAAAAAACAAGAAAGGAAAGCTAACTTCGGGCGGAGCCGAAGTTGAAATACCCTTGCAGAATATTCTGTAAATTATATTCTCCAAAATTATGCATATGATGCATTCTTAACACTCATAAAAGTCCCAACTTCCTAACTTTAAAAACACCAAAGTTATGGCATTTCCAATCGTTCAGTTATATGGCAGCTATTGAATATAGTCGGCCGATCCTTTTGAAATTTGGTATGTCGGATTGATTGGCCAAAAATAAATACCATAGAAAATCCCAACTTCCTAACTTAACAAACACCAAAGTTATGGCATTTCCGATCAATCAGTTATATGGCGGCTATAGGATATAGTCGGCCGATCCTTTTGAAATTTGGTGGGTCAGATTAATTGGCCAAATATAAAACCCATAGAAAATCCCAACTTCCTAGCATTACAAACACCAAAGTTATGGCATTTCCGATCGTTCAGTTATATGGCAGCTATAGGATATAGTCGGCCGATCCCGGCCGTTCCGACTTATATACTGCGTGCAAAGGAAAGAAGGGTGTGTGCAAAGTTTCAATTCGATATCTTTAAAACTGAGAGACTAGTTCGCGTAGAAACAGACAGACGGACAGACAGACGGACAGACGGACAGACGGACGGACGGACAGACGGACAGACGGACAGACGGACAGACGGACATGGCTATATCAACTCAGGAGGTGATCCTGATCAAGAATATATATACTTTATAGGGTCGGAGATGTCTCCTTCACTGCGTTGCACACTTTTGACCAAAATTATAATACCCTCTGCAAGGGTATAACAAGAAAGGAAAGCTAACTTCGGGCGGAGCCGAAGTTGATATACCCTTGCAGAATATTCTATAAATTATATTCTCCAAAATGATTCATATGATGCATTCTTAATACTCATAAAAAGTCCCAACTTCCTAACTTTAAAAACACCAAAGTTATGGCATTTCCAATCGTTCAGTTATATGGCAGCTATAGAATATAGTCGGCCGATCCTTATGAAATTTGTTAGGTCGGATTGATTGGCTACAAATAAAACCCATAGAAAATCTCAACTTCCTAACTTAACAAACACCAAAGTTATGGCATTTCCGATCGTTCAGTTATATGGCAGCTATAGGATATAGTTGGCCGATCCCGGCCGTTCCGACTTATATACTGCGTGCAAAGGAAAGAAGGGTGTGTGCAAAGTTTCAATTCGATATCTTTAAAACTGAGAGACTAGTTCGCGTAGAAACAGACAGACGGACAGACAGACGGACAGACAGACGGACAAACAGACGGACAGACAGAAGGACAGACAGACGGACAGACAGACGGACAGACAGACGGACAGACAGACGGACATGCTTATATCAACTCAGGAGGTGATCCTGATCAAGAATATATATACTTTATAGGGTCGGAGATGCCTCCTTCACTGCGTTGCACACTTTTGACCAAAATTATAATACCCTCTGCAAGGGTATTATTTTCGATTTTCCATGGGTATAACAAGATAAGAATCAAATGACGATGAGCCGAAGTTTAAATACCCTTGCATTTAATGAAAAAATGTATTACTCAATACACTTGTTCCACCAGTTTTTATACCTTTGCAGATGGTTTTCAGTCAAAAGTTTGCAACGCAGTGAAGGAGACATTTCCGAGCTTATAAAAGGAATAGATCAGCATCACCAGAAGAATCGATCTAGCCAAGTCCGTCCGTCTGTCCGTTTCTGCGCAAGCTAGTCCCTCAGTTTTAAAGCTATCCGCTTGAAAGTTTCCCAAAAGTTGTCTTTCTATTGCAGCCGACTATATCATATAGCTGCCATAGGAACAATCGGAAAAGAAAATATAAAAAAAGTAAAACTTTGTTGTTATACCCTTGCAGAGGGTATTATAATTTTGGTCAAGGAGCCGAAGTTGATATACCCTTGCAGAATATTCTGTAAGTTATGGCATTTCCAATCGTTCAGTTATATGGCAGCTATAGGATATAGTCGGCCGATCCTTATATATTAAATTTGGTAGGTCGGATTGATTGGCCAAAAATAAAACCCATAGAAAACCCCAACTTCCTAACTTTACAAACACCAAAGTTATGGCATTTCCGATCAATCAGTTATCAATCAGTTAGAAACTTACAACATAACACATATCTGTTACAAAAACCAAATTAATTAAAAAAAAAACATTAAAAACATGGGCTTTCCAAAACTTAACCTGTAATATTATTAGGACTTCAATTCCTTTCCCACTGACAACCTTATTTAAATAAATAGATGTTTTTTTTAATTTAAATTTTTCTTAGGCATTTCTCGCATTTATTTCTCATAGTTTTCGTAACACGTTTCATTCGCACAGTTTTTGTTTGTTCTTTTTCGATTTTAATATGTTTTGAATGTTTCTATCAAAATTACAAAAAATTCCATTTGATTTGGAATATAAGGTATATATAGTAATATATATTTTTATATCAAATGTGTTTTTATTTGTGGAAAAAATGGTATCAAATGGCAACATTGTTCACTATATAATAGCCCTGCAAAGAATTTCTGGATTTTATTTTTAAAAATTGAATTTTTCTTTGATTTTATTAGTTAGATGTTGTAGTTTTCCGTTGCTGTGTTTGTAAATTTGTAGTTAATGCATATTAATGATGTCTGAATGTTTCGGCGATATAGTAATTAACTTACTTATTTTGCTTTTCTTCAGTTGTAGTCTTTTCTTTTAGTTTTAGCTAGGGCTGTAATTTGAGTTTTCCTTATTTTATATAATTAGGATTCTGTTTTGTGTTTGATTTCTTGTTCTTTTAGTTGAACCTTGATTTATTTATCTTCATTTCTTAATTGTTTATACATTGAAATTGAAATATTTAAGCAAACGAACGGAAACAAAAATATATAAATTATATGTAAGATGGCAAACAATGTTTCTTTAAAATGCTTTTTGTAGTTAAAGCATTAAGTAAGTTTCTATATTTCCCTTTCATTTGCGTTTAATTACAAATGTATGCCATTTATATATATAAATTTATTTAGCTTTCAATTTATATTTCATTTTATCATGGACTTAATGACTAGGTTCATTTAGATTTTATTACATTTATGTAGCAAAAAATGTTTGCAAGTTTTTCTTTTCAATTTTTTTTTTTGTTTTGACACGACGACGGCGCCTATGGCACATCCTTGTGTTCCTACCATATATATATATAGATATATATAGCGTATAGTTTCTAAAAAATATCTTTATATAAATTCAAGCTTTAAAAAATTGGCATTTCCTTTATTTAAGTATGTTTATATCTAGATCTATATGCATAATACCCTTTAGTTTTGTATACGTAGGAAAGTAAAATGCAAATTTACCATAATAAACCCAATGCTGATTCTTGTATTCAAAAACAAAAGTTTCATATATTTATATAAGGTTGTGTGACATAGGATGAGAAAAAAGCAAGCTTTTATAGCTGATGCGGGATCTTTTGGGCTTGGAGTCTGAACACTTTTAGGATGGCTGGAGAGAGAAGGCGAAGGTTTCGTCGATTGATTCGATCATTATTCAATTGCAGCACACACGCCGATTTAAACGTAACAAAACTTCATATAGAACTATATAGCTATGCCTTTATACAGTGTGTTTCGGGACCAAAATATCTAAAGTATTCAACCCAAATAGATAAGTTTTCATACATTTAAAAATTATTGAAACTATTGCTGAACCGGATACAATATACAGGCACGTATATACGCTTATATTTATATATATGGCTGTCTCTGGCTGTACACAAACATACATACAAAACAAATGGCAAACAAGTTACTACACAAAAACAATTACAAAATTGATCAAAATATAATCGATACGTGGCAACCGATCAATGATAGTAAGCCGTTGATAAGTAGGTCATTAAAAGATTGCGGTATATATTTTTATCGAGTGCTCAATTGATCATCTAGAAAGCTATTCTGCGCGTACTTTAGTTTGATTAGTGCACAGCAGGGAAAATATATTTATTTAGATTTCACTGAACTCATATAACACATGCATATAAAAATTGAACCTATAGGAACGTTTCAAAAATCATATGTTGAGAAACAAAATTCGTATGCGAATTTAACCAAATAATTAATTTATATATTGTTACAGTTAACTTGATGAATTACATTTTTGATTTGTGTACAGAAATAATTAAATTTTCTCTTATTGCCTTTAATATAAATAGTTTGATTTGCACATGCAAGGTGTGTATTATAGCTGATCTGCCTATTTTATTTGTGGTTTGATATAAGTACAAAGAGAAATATAAATTTGTATTCTATTGAGGAACTTGATAAATATTTTGAAAACTAAGCATTTGGTTATTTTAATTGAACAATAAATGTGGAATACAAATGTTTTAAATAAAGAAAATATCGCTTTAAACAGCAAATAATTTGGATAGATCAACACATATATGCATTACTATATATTAGGTGTATATGCAGGGCTTCCCCTTTTTAGGTTTATATGCTTTATAAGGCATTTCCTTTTCTAGCGCAGCGCATTTCATGCGCTTACAAAACGTTTACTACCGTTACAGAGATTATCGAAAAAAAAATATAAAATCAATACTAAGAGCAACTAAACCATTAAAAAGTGCATGTTTATAGAAACACATTATACACTTATCTGACGCTAACTTAGTGTTTTTAAATAATGCACTATCGTTTTAAAAATGCATTGTTTCTTTTCTTTTTACAAACTAAAATTTAGCTTAAATATTTTTACTAATGCAGAATTCCTTTTTGCATTTTGCTTTTGTTTAAGCTGGTGGTTATCCCAACAATTTCTCGACTATCGAAATGGATCAAAGTCTGGATGAATTATCAAACCACGTCAAAACTGTCAACCAAAAACTAGAACTAAAACTTGTTTCGTTCACTTTTTATTTGCTCGAAAATGTTTATTGTAAAAAAATAATACTCTTGACTCCTGAATGCAATCTTAGCGAAAAACCCTGTTCATTCTTAAAACTTTATTTTGCCAAACAAATTATCGGATCAAAAAGTAACAGAAAAAGAAGTTCCGGTTTCCATCACCGATTAAAAATATTATTTTAAAACTTTAAAAGATGGCTACAAATTGTTGACGCATTTTACGTGGTTTGACTCCAAAATAGGATGGTGTTCTACAGTTTGATTCTCTGTTATGTGTAGTACTTGTGTAAAGAAGTGGGCGTGGCCATATCATATTCTTAAAAAATATATATGTAAAGTCATACATAAGTATGTTTTAATTAGTGGTTTTCCATCCCGCTCCGTTTCGCCTTATTTAGGAATTTGCATAATTCTGTTTTTTAGCTTTCTTTTAGACAAGTAATTATTTGTGCTCCTGGTCGAAAATCCTTCCTTTGGAGAACTATAATCCAAGTATGTGAGCGGATTCATCTGAAAAAAACATCCAATTAGTAAGAGATCGCGAATACATAGTTTAAAATTAAGACCCAACATTAAGATGGATGTAAGGTTTCATGAGCTGATGAACAGTCATAGACTTTACGGCTTGACTTACCCTTCTTATCTGACGATCCTACACCCGGTTGGTCAGGTGGGTCTTGTCGCTCCGTTTCGGAGGCGGCGGCGGAGGGCGCTTCTTGGCCGCAACGGTATTTCCAGGCGGCGGCGGTAGCGGAGGTGTGCCAGCATCTCCGCCAGCGCCTCCCGCCCTCCCCTGGGCGTGCACGTTTTCGTAGAGCGCGTTGTGTGCGTACTCGTAGTGCTCCTGCACCCAGTGGCTCACGTTGGCCGTCTCGCGGTAGTAGTGCGAGGAATTGGCCCCCGAGTTGAGATTGTGGGCGGCCAGTAGGTCCTCGTTGCTGAAGTCCCGGAAGCCCAGGACTTCGTGCGGCGTTGTGGCCGGCTCCGCCTTGCACTTCTGCGCCACCTGCCATTTCTTGCGCATCACGCGCTGCAGGTCCTTGAGAAAGTCGCGGGGCGGATTCGAAGCGGACTCCTGGAGGCGTTTGGGCGAGGTCACCTCGCTGCTGCTACCGTTGCTCTGGCTAGACAGACGCGCCAGGTCCGAGCGCGGCGGCAACATCGGACCTGGGGCATAGGTCTGGTAGGCCGATCCCGCGCTGGAATTGGAATGGCAGCTGAGCGTGGTGCTGGGCGAGCGCTGCGGCAGCACTGGCTCCGGCGAGCACATCTTGCGCCGCAGCAGCACTGGAGAGTCTGCGAACGAGACCTTCTTCTGGGCGGTGGGGGGCGGCGGCGGCAAGGGCGGTCCGGGCAGCTGGGCGGGACCTACATAATCCGGCGGCGCCTTGTACGGGGGCGCAGCTTTAAGAGCTCCCGAGGGCTGCTTTACTGCCGGCTTGATCGGCTTGGCCGGCACCGCCGGCGGCAACGATCCATTGCTATTAGGCATGATCATCGGTGTACTCATTGGTGTGGGAGTAGTCGGGCTGGGCGGACCCGCATAGCTCATGGCCAGCACCTCCTCGGGAGGAGGCGGTGGGGGCAGGGAGGCCAGCGACAACTGGGACCCGTACACGTCCTGGTCATCCGACCCATCCAAAGCGGGCGGCGGAGGGGGCGGAGGCAGTGAATCCAAGGACAGCGTGGACGAGCACATCAGCGAAGCAGCATCGCCCGGTGCCGGCTTGGCGCATATGCTGGGTGTGGGCGTGGGAGTGGAGTTGCTGCTGGACGAGGTGGAGGAGGCACTGCCCATTGGCTCCACCTGCTTGACTGCAGCGGCCACTGGCACGGGAATCGGACGTCTCTTCAGAGTGCCGCTGCCATTGCTCTCCTGCGACTTGCGGCGGCTGTGGCGGCGCGTGAGCGTACCGCTGCGCTCCGGGGAACTGGCATCCCCACCGGCGCTTTCGCAGATGGTGATCTCGCCCACCTCCTTCAGCTGGCGTGTCATTGTGGTCAGCGGCAGATTGGGCTTCATCGAGGGCTTGCGCTTGATGGTGCCCGTGGTGAACTCGGAGTCAAAGCCGTTGTTGTCGTCGGAGAGGCAACCGCTGGAGCTGCTGCTGGAGGCGCGCGATGTGCGGCCGCTGGTCGAGTTGGACATGCTGCTGATGGCCGAGGATACGCTGCCACACTGCGACGGGACTGCCGACGAGATGCTCGAGATGGACTCGCTGCGCATGGAGGCCGCAAAGCTGGACTGCGAGACGGAGTCGTCGCGGCTCAGGCAGAGATCCTCGAGTAGCGACTTGTGGCTGTCCCACAGCTGCTTGCCGTACTTGCAGACGCGGATGGCCGTAAGCCAGCGGTCCAGTGTCGGCAGGTCCTCGGCGCAGAGCATCTTGAGCGAGCGGCACGACTTGCCTAGTGAGGAGTCAGCGACCGCCTTGAAGCCGAAGGTGAAATCTGTCGGGGACTTCCACTTCTTGCGCCAGCCCAATCCGGTGTACACGTTGTGGCCGTGGAACAGATTGAGGCAGGCCAGGTCGCGCGTGTTCTTGGTCTTCTCTTTGGGGAAGTAGTAGAGACCCGAGGAGCGCAGCACGAAGTGGTACCGCTTCCAGCCCTTCTTCGGGTCCGCCTTCATGTAGAGCGGTCCGTCCAGCTGCATCTGGTTGTGCGAATCGAAGAACTCGTCCAGCAGCATCTGCCGCGTCTGCTCGTCGTGCTGGCATCCGGGCGCCATCTGGGGTCCGGGTAAGTAGAGTTCCGGGCGCGCGAACAGATTCACCTTGTCCGGCCGCTGCTGGAAGAGCACGCGATTGCCGGCATCCGAGTTCCACGTCATCAGGTTGTCTACCAGCAGCTCGTGGTCTTCAAAGAGGCGTTCTGCGGGGCAGAGGAAGGAATTAATAATATAGTTCAGTTTTGGAGTTTAACACCAAGACATCAGATATGTTGGCCAATAAGCCAACAAGTTGTCTTTGTGACCATAGCCACAAACACTTACCCATCTGCAGATCGCCCAAGTGCTCCACCAGAGCCCAGTTGGACTGCATCAGCACGTGGTTCTTGTCGGCCAGAAGGCGCGTTACATGGCCGCATACCATGCGCTCGTCCACCAACAGCGACTTGGATGCGCCATCGGAGGTGAAGGCCTTGACAAACAGGCGTCGGATTGAGGCGCTTTCGAGCTTATGCAGTGCCAGCTGGATTTTGGCCGCCTTCGAGATGCTGTTAGCGCCACTTTGCTGACCACTGTGCTGGCCGTGGCCGCCGTGGAGCAGCTTCTCCGAGGTGGCCAGCTGCTGTTTCTGCTGCTGATGCTGCTGCTGGTGCTGTTGCTGCTGCTGTTGCTGCAGGGATGTGTTCGAGGAGGCGGATGACTCGCTGGACAGCAGGGAGACCGTGTCGCTGAAGGCGGAGTCGTTGTCGGGCGACTCAGTGCGCGGCTCCCGGGCCGTGACAACGCCCAGCGTTATGCCCATGGTCATGCCGCCAGGTGGCGGCGGATGCACCATCATTCCGGCCGCTCCAGGTGCGCCAATGAGTCCAATTCCGTGTCCGTTCTCCGAGATCCCGGACGATGAGCAGCTGCTCACGTCCGCTGAGATGCTGCTGTTGGTACGCGAGTGGGAGCGCGACGAGGCGGCCGACATGGAAACCAGTGACGGAGCATTTCCCGCAAGCTGGGCCATTCCAGGTGGTGGCGCTACTTGTGAGCCGGCAAGCGGAGCACCCACGCCGGACAGCAAGGACGCCTCGGCATAGCTATTTTGAGCCTCCAGCAGGCCCAGCTCGCCAAGGATCTGGTCCAGCTCCGACTCCTGCGAGTCCTCCAGGTTGGCCATGGAGATGCGGTATGTGTGGGAGAGGTGTTTGGTCTCCGGTGTCAGGGGACGATCGCTGTGCCTACGCAACTTAACGCCAGCGCCAGCACCGGAGCCAATCACAGGGCAATCTCCACCAGCCACGAAGCCAGCGGCGGTCGTCGTCGTCGTCGTCGCACCACCAGCCGCTGCTCCTACTATTCCTCCGCCGCTGGCAGCGCCGCCCACCAAGATGCCCCTTAGATTGATCTGCAATAGATAAAAACAACGGAAAAGGATAAGCATAAATTCAAACATTGGTTATGCATATTTTATGTAGGTATTTTATTATTTTTTTAATTCCAAGCAAAAAAAATAATTATCCATAACATTGTTTCTCCTCGGCTTGTTTTTAGAGCTCATATCAAACTGTTTTTTTTATTTTCTTTCTAAAAATATAATTTATCAATTCCGACACAGAACCGTTTTTTTTATCAAGATGAAATTAAAACGAAATAAAAACATTTCTGAACCGTTTCTCTGCGACTCGAAGTCTCCATTGCTCGGGTTTAAAATGCGGCAGATAATAATTATAGTTGGGAAACTTTGGCTTTATAAAGAGACCCAGAAATGCTTCAGAATTATCAGTGGGTTTCCCATCTACATATAGTCGATATTGTTGCTGTTTTGTGAAACGTGCCACAATAGAGCGTCCGTTGGCGATTCTACGATTAGCGACTGGCGATTGGCGATTGTCGGTTGCCAATGCAGCTGGCCCAACCGATTCCGCCCCCTCTGTCGCCCCTTCAGGGCGTCAGCTGCGCTTCAAACACGTTACCCATTTTAGTTTGGACGACAGCAACTTCCCCAGCACCAACGCCGAGCACACCTAAAGAAAAATTGATATGAAGCACATACCAATTCAGTGATTTCAAAATTACCACCACATCAATTTGATAGGTTTAAAAAGTATTAAAGATCAATTTGGTACTGGATATAAAAATAATATGATTGCAAAATAACAATAATATTTAACAATCTGAAAATAAATAAAAGTATATATGGCAGCAGTGGAATTCGAACCGAGACCCAGCAAAATGAACAATGTAAATATCTTCTTGGCCTGCAATTATAAATTTGATATCGAGCTGTTTTTTTCCGTGGATATTGCAAATGCTTCTGTCGCTTGGAAATCAAAAGCCGAGCCGACGACTTCCCCGTCGTCGAGCGCTTTTGGCTTTTCTCCAGCAGCCGTCAGCTGTGCCGATAGTTATAGTTGAGCACTGTTTTTATCGCTTGTTACTGCTCCTGATGATTGTTGATATAATGCAGTCGAAACCGCTCGACTGGCTGCCTGACTACTGGCTAGTGTTAAGTAATTTACCCAGGCATAAGTCACGTATTAAGGCGACAAAGAACGGTGAACGGGGCCGTTGGCCGTCGGGGGTAGGGAAAAAACAATTACAATGACTGGCAATTGGCCAAGAGAAAGGGGAAGGGGAAGAGAGGGACGGAAGAGAGAGAACAGCTTGCAGAGAAGAGAGATCTTTAATGGGTCCACCGCACACATGGAAGCCTGGTTCGTTAAGTAAAGAATAAAGAGTAACAAGAAAACGATGACTTTCACACATCAAAAACTTTGATTCGATGCGGATGAAATACACAATTTGCCTTGAGTTTATATTAATTATATGCTATTTTCACAAAACACATTTTCTTAAGGCCGATACCTTCTTTTTCTCCAATCGGTTTGCCAATTAATTTATTTTGTTCAGGGCAAATAAGCTCCTAAGAAAATTGTTGCATATATTACTTTGTAATAACACTTTTTAAACATTGCTACTGTTTCTGGTATTTATTATATACTGTTGTATTACCCTGGCAATGTTCATTCCAGACTAAAGACTTCTAAGCCTGGAGGGCATCCCGGCACCCGGTTCGAGGAGACATGTGACATCGCTGACAACTGCCAACGTCTTACTGGTCATTTTGGTTACTTTCTGGTGATGGAGTTGCCTTTTTAATGGCCTTTTCAACGCTCGACTGAATGAGTCATTGCGTGGCTCGAAAAGGTTTTTGTTTTGTTTTCGTTTGCAGCGTTGTTGCTGTCTTTTATTTACTTTTTAGGTAATTGGCACTTTACTGAACTGAACTCCAGCCGGGACCCGCGATGATCCGCATCTACCATCACTGTCAGTTGCTCAACGCACCTCGAAGGGCAGCGGCTGACTAAGAGGTGGGGGGGAGGGAAGGTTAAAACGAGGTTAGAGTTGGTCCCATTCAACAATGCAGTGTCGCCCCGCTTGGCTAGCGTTGATTTATGGACAGAAATGTACATAAATACGGGAAACGGAATACAGATAGAGAGCGGCGCATCTAATAACCCTGGCGGCCCTCTTCCCCAAACACTCAATCGGTTGTCCACAAAGTTCAATGACAGCCGCAACAAGAAATCCCAATTGGCAATCCAGGGGATGGACAAAGGGGTCAGGCGAAGGGAAGGAGAGAAGGAGACGGGGAGAGGAGCCCGGTGCAGAGACCTCACACAGCATCCCATTCTACCGGCCATTTGTTGCTGTTAGTTTACGACTCTTGTTTGCATATTTGCATAGGTCGCTCCACGTTCCACTACTGCACTCCTATTCTCAATTCCACACAGGAAAAAATATTACTAAATATGTTCGACCAAATTATTTCTGTGCCATATTAATAAGAATCAAATTATTAAATGTTAATACCATGACATTTATTGGTTTTATTTTAAAATATATACAAAACTAAACACCCTTGTTAAACACACAGACGCAATTACCATTGTTCCAAGACTTAACCTATATTTGTCTTCTGCTTGCAATGTTGAAAACCGGTTTTTATCTGATCGACATAACAAGCCATTGGGAATTATAGCGTGACAACAGGGCACTTGTTTGGACTTGGATTAACATATTAAACCAGAGCAACATATTAAAACCAATAGTCAATTTAAATATAATGCAGTATCAACTGCAACGTGCATATATTATATATAATTTGGAAGAACGTCTTTTCAAATTTAAAAAAAATATTTAGAAACTACATATCATATGTTTAAAATCTGAAAACTATATGTACACAATTTTATTCGATATTGTTCCGGTTTCTTTTGCTGAGCACTGTCCACAGTTGGTAAACTAATGGTCCCCGCATCTAAGTGTCAAAAGTCCAAGCCCAAACAGAAAAAGTGGAAGGCGACTGCATGTTGACTATGAATTCAGCTTCACTTTTTGAAAGTAGGAGGCGCAACGACAAATTTTAAAATTCTCTTGATTGTAAAAAGCTTGTAACCACACGTTATTGCGATTTCCTTTGTGTCTTAAACACATAAACAATACATTTTGATTGCTGGGTATAAAAAAGTAGGTAACAATTGCAGTCAAAACTACGTGCAGTTTAAAGGTCTATATTTTTAATCACTGTCTCTATATATATGAGTTCACTTATTAGGTTTTCGTTGGATATATGGCTATAAAGGTAACAACTTGCTTTTGCAATAATAGGAAACAAAATGTGTGACTTTAGTTTTAAAAATGCAAAATATGCAATCAATAAATAGCTATAGATTCATGGACTACTGCATTGCTGCACTTAATGAAGTAACAACCGGCACAAATGTATGTATTACGTGATTTCAACTGTTTACTGTTTCTGACAGAAAATTGGATTTCCCATGTATTTAGTTTTTTCTATAAACAAATTTGACTCATGATACACAGAAATGTTTTCACTGACTTGACTTGCCTTACACTTTTAAACATCGCTTCCCCGTTTTTTGTTACCAGTAATAAAATTTCCTTGTTATTACGACGTCTGTGTTTAAAAGTGGTTTAAATAACAATCGTCAAAAGTCAGAAAGGAAATAAACCACTCCCCACACTGTTTTCCTCCGAAGTGTTACATTTCAGTCGTAGTCGATCTGTAAATAACTTTTTCTGCTGCAGTTCAATGTTCTTAGTGGATCGGTTTTCTGTTGTTCACCTTGGGCACACAATTCCATATCAATGCTACCAATATAGAGGCTAGACTTCCATGATAAACCAATTATAACCTTAGCGGATCCGAGAATTGTATGGCCAGTTGTTGAGTCTGATTCGAGGCTAGGCGTTACTGTTCCCCAGCCATGTGCTCTAGCTTTTGTAAGGGACCTTACCAGAGGAATCCAGTCTAACTCTGCCTAACAAGTGGTTAAACACCGCACTCATGACCTACTCAACAGCAATCGCATGTTCTGGGCCCATTCCACTCCCTGGGGAGTCACCCCAAAGTAATTACTTTTACACTACAATAATATTTCCAGTAATTAACTAAAAGCAAGAGTCCCGTCCCTTTTCTCCACTGACGTCACTTGGTCTGCGTGGAAATGGGGGGAAAAAAAAGGTGGGTGGGGGAGCTCTTTGTTCAAGGCCCAAACGCATTATGAATATTCTCATGTTTGTGGACATTTACAGCAACTTCCGCAGTCGATTAATAAAAACAACAAAAAGCGCTGCCAAAAAAGAGCAGCGCACACAACACAAGAGTGGTCGAAAAAGCAACAATAGCAAGCAAACAAAAAATAAATTAATACATTAAATTTAACTTTTAATGGGCCCCGCTCGCAAACAGAAACACCCGGAGACATGCCACGGCCTTATAAAGCAGGCACTTCGCTCCTTTGGCAAAATTGTCGCTCATAAAACGAAAACATCGTTTATAATATAGGGAATACAGAATTTATAATGCGAGTGCCTGAATTTACGCCACCATTTCGGTTGACGCTGATGACCATCATCACCATCAAGAAGCAACAGAGTTGTGCTTTAACTCCGTTCGAGTTGACTTTACTACACTTTACTTAACTTCGCGTCGTTCGTTTCGGTTTGACTTTGGGCTTGGTTCGTTAAGCAGCCTAATTGGCGGCCCCCGCCAGTTTTCCACAGAAAGAAAAAAGCCCAACCATAGTAAATATTCCTACTTGATAATCGTATTATTTTTATCACAAGCCATAAGAATAATTAACAGTATATTTTATAAAGGACCGAAAAATAAGATTGCAAACAGTTTTACAATATGAAATTGATATATGTATGTAGGTATATAGGCAAGCAGCTTTTATACGCAGTTGGGTATTATCAAAATGCCATTATTTTTCAAATACAAAGGCATCTCAACTAAACAAAAACAGTCCGAATCCATGGAACATTTCTGTCTCTGTACTGTTAAGTGAACCCGCAGAGGTAAGTTCAAGGCAAGGC